GAGTGAGAAAAACAGAATTTACACTTCTTTAACACCTCAGGCTCTAAACACTGAACGCATCACCTTTTCCTCAGGATTTGCGAGTCCTGAGTCAGGGCTGGCAGTAACGGGTCAGAGCTTGATGCACAACTCCTTACACGTCTTCATGAACGGATCCATCAGTGCAGGGATCCGCCAACGACCCCATCTTCCTTCTACATCATGCCTTTATCGACAGGTGAAATGCATACACGCATAGCAAACTACTAACCCTGAGCATTTTGATGCATATCTCCCCCATAAAACTGTGCAATAGTCATGAATGACAACTCAAATCATGCAATATTATATAAATATTACATACATTAATACAGGGATTCTCAAAACTTTTTGTCAGCCAAACACATTTGACCTAAAATATTTACTCGAAGCGCCCCTGTGGTTTTAATTTACACTGTAAAATTTATGGTAAAAAACCGGCAGCTGTGGTTACCGGAATTTTACCGTAAAAAATATGGTAGCATCATTTTAGGTTTTACGGTTTTAACTTAAATTTACAGTTAAATACCGTAATTTCATTAACTGATATAATGTTAATATACCAACCCACTGAAGTACTGAAATCTGTTTTGTAGCTTTGTAATACACTGATAACCACCAAATGCAGGAGGTGATGAGAAAGTCACATGATGAACCAAAGCACATCACAAGCAGCTTTTAAATAATAACATATATAGAAGGTGCACAGTGTCGTTCACACAAACACTAAACACCATCACGGTAACACACATGAAACTGAAATAATGCAATAAACATTCATTTAACAACATTAGGTGTAACACACAACCCTAATATACAAAACTGAGAAGAAAAACAGTTATTTCAACAACAAAAAACATCAAATTTGAAATGTAACGCAGGGAATTCTGGAAATGTCAATTTACGGTTATTCACTGTAAATTATATGGACTTTTTCACTTCCAAAAATGGTATACTACCGTGAAATTTTTATACCGAGTTTTTCACCGTATATAGTAGCGGAATTTACCATTAGCTATTTAACTGGTTTTTACTGTAGCATTTTTACAGTCTTTTACCGTTAAATTCACGGTAATTTTTTACAGTGTACTATTTCAATAATGTAACTATTTTACTACTGTATATTGACTTACTATACTTTTAAACTAATTTTGCATGGTTCTATGATGTCAGTTAATGCTCAAATGGCATGCAGGTAAATATAAATATATATAGTCTTTTTTTCAGTAAGTGTTTCATTTTTATGTACAGTACAGGGCTATTCGAGTTGTTAATAAAATTCTATATAAATACTTGTAATTTTTTAAAAGTTTTATTTTAATTATTTTTATTTTAAGATTATTTATTAATTTTAATTTTACATTAAGATTTAAAATAATTATTAGCTTTTCATAAACTCACAAATCAGCAGGGGTTTGCATTAATAAAAATATATACACAGTTTCTCAGATCTCTTTTTTAGTAGTTTTGTTTTGATTATTTTATTTTAAGATGATTTATTTTAGTTTTACATTTTAAAGATTGAATTATTAGCATTTCATCAACTCACAAACCCCGCAGGGATTTGCGAACCCCAGTTTGGGAAATCCCAAAGTTAAGTTCAGTGCATTTTAATTTGACATTTTAATGTGAGACAGACAACAAAACTTTAGCTTCTAAACTTTGTCTGGTTGAATTTAACGCAGTTTTGCATTTTTGTTTAATGCATATTTTAATTGTTTCATACAAATTCAACCCATAATCAGCAAAAACCTCAAGAAATTTCGAGGGTTGGCTTTTTTGACTTTTTTGAGCCAGTAAGAAACCATCTATAGCAACTGGCCAGAACAACCTAAAGCATATTTGAATGCAAAACACAACAATAGCGGAGAAGGTTTCACTGAAACATGAATCCAAACATGATTAACCTCATTCCCCATTGACTTTCTCATTGCAACTCTGCGTTTGTTTCAGCATCTTTGAGCAATGGCTGAGGAGACACCAGCCCCCCCGCACACACTGCCCCACCGCCAACGCCCCGATCGGACACAACGACGGCTATTACATGGTCCCCTTCATCCCTCTCTACAGAAACGGAGATTATTTCCTCTCGACTAAAGCTCTGGGTTATGAATATGCATATTTACAGGACCCAAGTGAGTCATTTGCATGCATTGAGACTTTCTTGCTTCTTCAGTCTCTCTCTGTTCTATATCACTTTTCTCTGTGTCAGGTCAGCGGTTTGTGCAGGAGTTTCTGACACTGTATATAGAGCAAGCTCGGGAGATCTGGCGCTGGCTGCTGGCCACGGGGATCCTCGGGGCGGCCGTGGCAGGAATTATTGCAGCTATTATCACTGTGGCGTGTCGCAGGCGGCCGAAGAGGAGAAAGTCATATGGGGAGAGACAGCCGCTTCTGAACAGCAGCGAAGAGGAGGAATCGACTTCATATCAGACTACATTGTAACCCTACAGACACGCATCAGCGAGGACGGATACGCCGTACCGACGGGAAAAAGACACAACAGCCAGTTAACTCAGGTCATGTGACAAACCAAACAAGGTCTCGCCTCTAAACCGGAGTCATGCAACAAGGGCTGCGTTCAAAATCTTGCTTTAGTATGCATAATGCCCACTACATACACTACTGTTCAAATGTTTGGGGTCAGTAAGAGTGTACTCAGCAAGGATGCATTCAATTAATCAAAAGTGACAATTCCACAAAATATGAAGCAGCACAACTGTTTTCAACATTGATAATAATCAGAAATGTTTCTTGAGCAGCAAATCAGCATGATTTCTTGTGACACTGAAGACTGGAGTAATGATGCTGAAAATTCAGCTTTGATCACAGAAATCAATTACATTTTGAAATATATTACAATAGAAAACAGTTATTTGAAATTGTAATAATATTTCACAATATTACCGATTTTACTGTATTTTTGATCATATAGATGCTGCATTGGTGAGCAGAAGAGATATTTGAAAAACATCAAAAAAATCTTACCAACTCCAAATATTTGAATTGTTTTGTACATATTGGTCGAAATATGCAGTACACAACCAAAATATATTATTGATAAAAATACTGCATCCCATAATGCCATGCGCTTGATTGGTTTTCCGGTTCCAGTGGGAATAAGCAATTTCACTGACCAATTGCCTTAAGCAATCTGACTAAAGTTAGATAATAGACTAAATAATTGGATTTAAAATGTAAAATAATCATTTTAATTTCCAAGCCACTCAAAAACGCAACACAGTGAGGTCATATGACATCAATGTTGCATACCAGTGTTTGAAATGCTTATTGCTTCACATGCTAATTAATAGTACACAATATACACTGTGCAGTAAGCTAGTATTCTGAACACAACTAAGGTCTCTAGTCAAACCAGTTTATTGATATTCATGGTGCTTGTATTGTCACTGTGTGTTTATATATATAATACACATACAAAGTAATATTAAAAAGATTTATATAAATCAGTGATTAAATGTAATCTTTGGCAGTGGTAATATAATAGCAGTGCAGTTCATTTAAGACTCAAAGTTATACTTTAAATATGGTTGTGTACGTTTGTGTTCATAAAGGTATACAATAAGCCAAAACATAGTATTAATAAACAAGACAACATGTGAAATGACATGAGGGCGAGTAAATTATGTCAGAATTTTTCATTTTTGGGTGAACTAGTGCTATTTAACCCAGGTTTTATAGGAATAATTCAACCAAAAATTTAAATTTACTTAACATTTACTCACCTTCAGCCCATCCAAGATACAAATGAGTTTGATTCTTTATCAGATTTGGAGATATGTAGCATTGCATCACTGTCTCAGCAATGCATCCTCTGCAGTGAATGGGTGCCGTCAGAATGAGAGTCCAAACAGCTGATAAAAACATCACAATAATCCACACTACTCCAGTCCATCAGTTAACATCTTGTGAAGCCAAAATCATGCGTGTTTGTAAGAAACAAATCCATCATTTGGATTCATGTAAGAAACAAATCCATCACCAGTCCTCTGTCCATAATATTGTTTCCTCCGGTGAAAAAGTCATCTGGTCTGAATCAGGAGAGAAATCTGCACAAAGCACCGTTTACAAGCCAAAACAGTGCAAAACAGCCCTAAACAAATATGATTTTGATATGAGATGACAAAAGGAGGAAGTGTTATTATGGATTATGCACTTAAATCTTGGAAGTTGAAAGTGTCTTAATGATGGATTTGTTTCTTATAAACAAGCAGCTTTTGGCTGATGTACTGGAGTGGTGTGGATTATTGTGATGTTTTTATCAGCTGTTTGGACTCTCATTCTGACGGCACCCATTCACTGCAGAGCATCCATTGGTGAGCAAGTGATGTAATGCAACATTTCTCCAAATCTAAAGAAGAAACAAACTCATCTACATCTCGGATAGCCTGAGAATGAGTACATTTTCAGCAAATTTTCATTTTTGGGTGAACTATTCATTTAAGGGTCTATCAAGGGTTGTGCAGGTTCATGTAGACAAACACTACATGCAGAATCACAAATATTCCCTGAATAAGAACGTAATTGTGCAAGTTTTCCATCTCATTACAATGTTTACCGGCTCTCCATCTCTTTGTCCGAGGATTCATTTTTAGACGAGGATGTGGTGCATGAATTCCAGACATCTTCATCCACATTTGTCTTCTCCTGTCTTCATTCCTCAGTGTCAGAGACTCTTTATTTGGCATTAAACGATGGGTTTGCTTGCGTCCCTCAGATGAAGGTCTCTTTGTTGTACTCAAATGCAGTTCCTGTGTGTGGGTTTGAATTGCATAGAGTGTGTAACGCTTTAGAGATCCCTTTGGGTCCACAGCAGAAAACCCCCACTCTTTTACTGCAGGACAAACACACACATCATCATTTTTGATTACTGCAATCATTAAAATGGCCCACATAACTACATTATTTCAGCCAATAATGGATGCATTCATCATACTCACAGCTGATTGGCTCTCCCTATTTCCTGGAACATGAGCTTCCATTTTGGCCGACCAATCCTAAGCCTGGAGCTCAAAAAACGGTAACGCTCCTCACCGATGCTCTTCAAAACACACAATGAAAGAAATTACTTCAGTATGACAACTGATATATGCATATTTTATTGTAAAATAATGAACTAGATGTTTACATTTTCTGTAAACAAAAGAATAATGCTCGCATCTACAAAACTCAAGTTATAAATTAATATTAAATAAGCAGTATTAAAAAAAGATATAAGCACACACACCTGTAATCCCCGAGTGTTACTGAGGTAGAGCTGAACATTCAGATAATCTGGTCGATTGTCCCGCCACAGCTACAGAGAGAAGACAATATATTTCAAGAGGATGTTTAATATTACACGTGCACTCTGGGGGCGGGACAATAAAGCAGAAGAACCAATGAGATTAGAGAAGACGCATGTGGACAGAATATCCATTTCCATAATACTTCCATACTACTCATGCTATTTCTGCAGTATGACAAACTGTGCACTGTGTGTGAAATTTCTGTATGCATGGAATACATTCTACTTACCTACTGCAGTATGCAATGAATTAGAATTCCATTCCAAATATAACTAATGGAATACTAGCATACTGATTCCTGCATACTGCACTGCATTGAGCTTACAAAAATATGTTCTAAGAACATTTTGCTAACTTTCTCATTAAGCTATGAAAACATTATATTTGGAAAATTCAAAATGTGCAGTTTTATCTTGTTTATGCAAATGTTTAGGGAACATTCTATTTGATCATTTTTGCAAACATTATGGGAAAGTTACTTTGGAATACTCTCTGTACATTCCAAAACAAGTAGCAACATTTACAAAATGTTACACGAACGTTCAACTGAAACGTTTCAGAAATAACATTCAATGAACAATGTATAAATAATGTTTTGAGAACATTATTAAAGACAAAATAACTTTAATAAACATGTTATGTTAATGTTACTGTAAAATGTTAATACATAACTTGCCCGAATGTTCTGAGAATGTTCCCGGTTACCTGGGTATATACTATTTTTTTGAAGCATGTGAAATGATATATGGTTATTTTGCATTCTAAATCCACTTTTATGTAAATTGTCTTTGTGGGCCAATCAAATCACAAGCAAAAAAATATTTTTGCATTGCATTATGGGATACTGTATTCTGTGCACTGTGCTATAGTTGCACACTGCATATCTTGTTAAATGTAGCAAGTCATTTGGGTATTACATGAAGAGCATATTATGCACAGTATACATGCTGAAATATTAGTACAAGTAGTATGCTATTACAAACAGATCTGACAACCACCCCACCAATCAGAAAATGATGATCCGCCCACACAATGCTGGAAAACTGTTCTGTCTTCCCAGGAAATGGCGCAGACAGAGGGTCATGACATTTAACCTCCTAATATACTGAGGGATCATGACCTTCATTAACGCAGCAGACTTACGTGGGGTATCTCCTCTGTTGCATCATGGGAAGAATCTCAGAGCTGTTCGACTTTTGAAGCAGCAGCTGAGAAAATCTCACTGAGGAATAACATAGACAAAAGAAAATCAACAATATATGTACAAATAAAAACAATATCAAATATATTTCAGAATGTTGTGAGTGTTCTGGGTGACTGTTAGCACATTGCTATGTGGTTGCGAAGGCATTTTAAATGTTTTTAGCATGTTAGAAAAATAGAAACAGTAATTGTGACTTTTTAATCTCACAATTTTGACTATTTCTCGTAATTGCGTTTACATCTTACAAACTCGCAACTGCAAGAGTAAAGTGAGAATTGTATCTCGCATTTCTTTTTTCTCGCAATTGCGAGTTTACATCTTACAATTCTCACTTTTCGCTTGCAATTGTGAGTTTATAACTCGCATTTCTGACATTATAACACGCAATTCTGACCTATAACTCGAAATGGCGGGAAAAAAAAAAGCAATTACCTTTTTTATTTTTTATTCAGTGGCAGAAGAGGGCTTCCATATGCTACAGAATGTAGCTAAGGATTTCTCGGCGGTTGTTAAAGCATTGCTAAGTAGTTTTTAATTTGTTCTGGGTGGTTTATAAGACTATTTTAGATGGATGTTAGTGCACTGCTATGTTGTTTAACACACCTTTACGGTCTCATTTTGGTCTCTAGATATGGATAAGTCCTTTATTGTAAATTGGTGGGATTTTTTGCCTGTTTTATCCCCCATGTGTATTTGCACTGGTATGTGGTATTTCTTTTAAGTATGTTTTCTTCCAGGAACTGTATCTGTAAAGCATGACAATGGAAAGTGTCTTGACACAGGACTGAGCCAACAAAAATGTGTGTGTAAGAGTGTGTTTTAATCCAAACTTCACACATTTTGACAGAAACCTTTGAACTAGATCTTTGAACTATTTATTATGCATGTGTGTGTGTGTGTGTGTGTGTGTGTGTACGCACAGGTCCAGTCTCCCAGCACTCTGAGATGAACACCAAATGTTTCATTCTTCCCTGTTGGACACTGAGGAACACAGTCAAACACACACAGAGAGCAGGGATTGAGTGTGAGGATCAGGTACAGTCATGCATTAAAGGAAACAGACCCCTGCGGGCAGAAAGACTCCAAGCAAAGTGTATGAGTGGGTAAAAAAGTTTTACTTGGCAGAGAATGCTAACGTATTAAGTGTATAAGTGTGGAGAAGGTTATTGCATGTTTCAAAAATGCTTTTTAATGGAAACATTTACATAGACCATCATGGAATGTTTAGTTTGAAAGAGAGTGCAATTTGATCCTATAGCAATCTTCAACAGTATTACATCATTGAAAATGCCTTCAGCACTGTTTATGAAGAAGCACATGTTCATATGCTGCTGTCAGGTCCTGCTTGTGCATCTGGAAATCATAACCTATGATATGATGCGAGTTCGAAATGAGTCAGAATAATAACATTAGTAATTGTTTTTGTATCCATAATTTGCTAGTCACTTTAGATAAAAACATGTCAACGTGCAATTAAAATGTGGTTATGAGCAATATCAATTAGCCATCATTCTATCATTGACGCACTCAAGATGAGTACCATCATGACTTGAATGCAGTAATACACACAAATGGACTCAATGTGGTAAGAGTAAAGGGATGGTTTTCAAATGACGACACACTCGGGCAGTTCAGCAGGATGTACTAGAGAAAACAACACAAAAACACATTTTAGACATGACATTAAATATGCATATTTACATAATATATATACTAACATTTACATTAAATGGGCCTTATACATATGTTTTTGAAAAACGTCTCCTCTGCTCACTGAATCTGTATTTATTTGATCAAAAATACAGTAAAAACAGTATAAAAGTGAAATATTATTACCGTTTAAAATCACAGATTTCTATGTGAATATATTGTAAAATGTAATTTATTTCTGTGATCAAAGCTGAATTTTCAGCATCATTACTCCAGTCTTCAGTGTCACATGATCCTTCAGAAATCATTCTAATTTTCTGATCTGCTGCTGAAGAAACATTTCTGATTATTATCAGTGTTGAAAACAGTTGTGCTGTTTCATACTTTTGTGGAAACTCTGATAGATTTAATTTTTTCATTCAGGATTCTTTGGTGAATAGAAAGTTCAAAAGAACAGCGTTTATTTGAAATAGAGATATTTTGTAACATTATAAACGCCTTTACTATCACTTTTAATTTAATGCATCCTTGCTGAATATAAGTATTAATTTCTTTCAAAAAAAAAATCTTACAGACCCCAAACGTTTGAAGAGGAGTGTTGCAGACTGAAGTTTTTCATTTAAAAATTTGAAAACAAACTTTATTGTAACCGTGCGGAGGCGGGGCTCACCTGTCCAGGGCGGGGCTTAAAGCCGCTCATCAGCATGCGCAATTCTACCACATCACATGGATGACTAACGACAGAAACTATGGTAACAGGAGCAGTGCTGCTTCTTATGAAACGATACAACCACTCGGCACAGTACAGGCAGAGAGGAGCTGAGACCCACAACCACGTCTAAAACACACACACAACGACTGATAATCATATACATATAGATGTACATACAAAACGATATAAACAACAACATGAAAGAATCAACTACTGCATCATTTAGAGACAGACAGACCTGAGGAAAATGGGGTTGAAAATGAGCCTCTTCTTGACAAACTGTTTGTGGTGCACCTGAAAACTCCGCCCCCTTCTCTCTTGCTGCTTTGTGATTGGTCCATGAACTGAGATTGTTGTGTGTGCAGCCGGGTGGGTGGGCCTCCACGTTTGACTGATACTTTAAAGCCCCCCTATTGAACAGAGAGGCAGCAATCTTATCGCATAAAGCATAAAGGTATAAAGGTCCCAACGGTAAATGTAAAACCTTAAGACCTTTTTAAGATCAACTATAGAAAATTTAAGGAATAATTTGAAGGGAATGCAATATGTCAAATGGTCTCTATCTAAATGTAAATGTCTTATATTAGACATTCAAAGCTTGAAAACACAACTTCCTGCCGATCTCCATTAATTTTTAAGTCAACACGACTGCTGTTCCTGAAACCACGCCTTCTTTCTTTGCGTGCACATTTGGGTGGCATTATGCTAATATTTCCACATAGTGATGTAGGTATGTGGGGGCGTGTTAGAACGAGCCGTTTTAGGTAGGTGGGTGTGGCTGACTCTTAACTTTTATAAAGAATATCTCTTTGGATTTGAGACTTTAGTTTTTGCAACTTTACAGATCTTCTTTATGCACCAAGAGCTTGTAACACTCCAAAGAGAAAGGAACAATGGAAATAAAAAAAATGTAATTCATAATTAAAAAATTAATTTTACAAAAATCACACTAATTAATAAATTTTTGCTTAATATTTTTTGTTTGATATTTGCAAATCTAAGACATAAAAAACCTTTCTTCCATAATGTAAGGGATTATGGGTAATAAAATATGCATCAAGTATAGAAATAGCATGCCATCAGTGCAACTCTTACGTACTATTTTCAGTTCATATTTAATGATTTGAGGACACACCAATTCTAATTTCACATACTATTTAAGTATTCAAGTTTGATTTTGTCCCCCCAAAATGTATTGACAATATTTTGCACAGTCGTTTGTATGCGTGTGAGGGAAATACACTGATAAACTCACCCTGCTACGTGGAGCATCAGAATAATGTAGAACACGATGAAGAGGTTGTGAGTGTACCAGAAAATCTCGTAACTTGAGACTCTGAGAAAAACACACACAATTGCACTCAAATAAAAAGGAGAGCGAGATAAAAGAACATGTAGCACAGCGTTCAGGTCTCTTAGATTGAACGAGACGCTCTTGAAGTGTCCTAAAGTGAACTAAAGCACCTCAATTATAGCAGGACAATGGAGAGGAGAAGCCCATCGGCCCCAGATCAATCAGAGGGGAAGAACCCCTCCGGGTAATAGTCTCGGTAATTACAGTCAAGTGTGTGTGTGTGTGTGTGTGTGTGTGTGTGTGTATAAAGTCTAGGGAGAGGAGACTAGGGTCACAGGCAGGTCAAATAACAGTTAAAAGGTTACAGGTTCTCACCTAATACAATAAGACGACGCTGTAAACATCAGAAACAACACCAGCACCAACAGAACGCCAGTAACTCCAGGAACTAAGAAAAGAGCCAAAAAAATCATGAGTTCTCAAACAAGGTCAAATTAAACATAAATAATAATATTAAAAATAATAGTAATAATAAAAATGACAAAATTACATATTACTACAGTTAAAATGAAAAATTTAAATATAAGCAATTCAAAATATTAATAAAATTACTTTTAGAAATTAAGTTGTGTGAAATAACTTGAAAGAGATATTTAAACACTTCAGCTAACAATCTCGCTTAAACACAAAATAAAAGGAGACACATCTGACAAAGTTAGAAGACTCTGTCCAAAGGCTTTTCAGTTAATCATCCTACATTAAATATCATAATTTCAGTTGCATTATATTAAATACAACACACTGATGTAGAAGTAAAAAAGGGAGATTTAGAAATGTGAATCACCTGTGCTTATGATGAGAATTCTGGGATCCTAAAGAGATAAAAACATATTACCACAGTTTTAAATATTACACAGCACAACTGTGTGTAATTCGATCTGTAGACATCATACTTTTTTCACTTATTTCAGTTAATGTCATAAAACTAGTGAGCTAAGCCAGTATCAGTACTGACTGTGTCGTGTAAACATGGCTGAACATGTTTAGCGGAGGAACAGACAAACCAAATCAATTGAGTAAGTCATATATGCTGGAACTGCTCCGATTGATAAAAATGTGTGACTTCAATCATTCAGTTCAATTCACTAGCAAAAACCAGATCAAAAGAGCCATTCATTTTCGTATTTGGATATGGCTTGTACTGATTTTAAAAAGCACGTATTGTGATGGGTGAAACTGAGCTTTTCGAAACTCCGAATCAGTTAAAACACTGCGCCGCAAAATGATTCACTGTTTAGAAGCGCTCCAATCGGTTCGCGTATCACGAATCATTTGATTCAGATCGGGACTTCAAATTGCATATTGCAAATCATTTTATCTACATCGGGACTTTGGACAATCTATGCTTCGGAACAGGTTCGCGAATCATTTTGCGAATTGAAATACTCACCATCTGCGCTTCGAAGTCCCGATCTGAAATGATGGTTCTCGATTCAATATTCAGATCGGCACTTCTGAGCACGGATCATGAATCATTTGATTTAGATCAGGATTTCGAAGCGTGGATCGTGAATCATTTGGAGCACGATGGATACTTTGGAGCACGAATCGTGAATCATTTCATTTAGATCGGGATTTCGATGCGGGTTCACAAATCATTTGAATCAGATCGGGACTTCGGAATGAGAACCGATAATTATTTGATTCAGATTGGTACTTCGGTTCGGGTCATTTGATTCAGATCAGAACTTCGGAGCTGGTTGGCGAATCATTTCAATTGAATGATCTGCAATCCGCACTCCGATGTCCCGATCTGAAATGATGGTTCTCTAATCAATATTCAGATCGGCACTTCTGAGCACGGATCATAAATCATTTGATTTAGATCAGGATTTCGAAGCGTGGATCGTGAATCATTTGGAGCACGATGGATACTTTGGAGCACGAATCGTGAATCATTTCATTTAGATCGGGATTTCGATGCGGGTTCAAGAATCATTTGAATCAGATCGGGACTTCGGAACGAGAATCGATAATTATTTGATTCAGATTGGTACTTCGGTTTGGGTCATTTTATTCAGATCAGAACTTCAGAGCTGGTTGGCGAATCATTTTGTAAATTGAATGATCTGCAATCCGCGCGCTCCGATGTCCCGATCCAAAATGATGGTTCTCGAATCAATATTCAGATCGGCACTTCTGAGCACGGATCATGAATCATTTGATTTAGATCAGGATTTCGAAGCGTGGATCGTGAATCATTTGATTCAGACCGAGACTTCGGTGCAGGTTCGTGAATCATTTGATTCTGATTGGCACTCCGGAGTGTGTATCGCAAATCTTTATTCCGATTTATTTTTATTATTAAACAGTAGAAAACATCAAACTATTAAGGCAGTACTGTTACAAAAACAAAACAAAGAAAGTATACACAAATACAAATCTCTTAAAGAATCATGAAACCCCGTTTCAGCACTGGTTAGTTCTCACCACAGTTTTAAAAAACGCAAAAAAAAAGTGGGCGTGGTGCGCTGCAGAGCGGAGGGGGAAGAGGGAAGACAGACAACACAAACAACTTCGGTTTCAGACAGTTCTCATAGGATAAGAACATGCAGTCTCATGAATAATCTATTAGACACCGACACGTCATCGATGCACTAGTCCTTTGCCACCTCACAAATTGTGACATCAACACGATGTAGATTTTAAACCTGGAAGATGAAAATAGCGCAAAAAAGCATAAAATTAACCAGTTTTCTCCAACAATTAAAATTAACGGATGCTAGCATGGTCTTCTATGATGTGCAACACAAACACCTCTGCTGAAATCTCTGAAAAAGTAGTCTGGGGTTTCATGATCCTTTAAGAAAATGAATCACAGAAGACCATAAAAGAGTGACAAAACCAGCAACTCACTTCAGTGTCTGACTTATATTATAATTACTTCTATAAGGTTTTTGTGAAATTTGAATTAACTCCTTTATCTGTTGTTTGACCTCTTCATATTTAAAGAGAGAACTCTAGTTTCTAGTCAGACATCGCTTGTTGTGATTTTCAAGCGTGTCAAATTTAGTAGAGATGCTATGACATGTCCCTACCGATATCCAGCGACTACTAAATTGTCCCTAGCAATAATTTTAATCAAACAATGAAATGTCTGTTGTCTGCCGTTATGTCCCCACCAATGTCAAAATCATACCTACGCCCTTGCAAAAACATTTTTAAAAATTATTATTCCAAACACAGAAAATTCATGTAAATATCTGTGATACCTGTCCTCGATACTGAGCGACATTGAGCGCAGGGAAATCCTCTGAATATCTCACAGAGAAACTGACCATGTTCACGAGGTGAGCGCTCACATGAACCACTGCAGACATAAACACGAACAAACACATAAACATCATCAACTCAGACAAAACACACACATGGAATGACAGCATGCGTAAAGTATGTGTGGAAGACAATGTAGCGAATTAGCTCATGGGAAATATGAATAATTAACCATAACTAGTTATAATTAACTATTCATATTTTAGATCCACTGTAGATATTTAGCTGACCACTCAGGGTCAACCGTCTTGTCAATTCTAAGAACGTTAATTTCCTGGTTAAAGGAAATAACTTTCTTACTGTACAATTCTATAAGTTTGTAACATAAATCTGCATGATTATTGACTCCGGTTATGAGTAAACAATGAACACGCCATGTGTGTGTGTGTGTGTGTGTGTGTGTGTTGCAGTTGTCATGGTAACAGGGTGCCTCAGAACTCTGTAATTAGAACAAGACCACAATGCACTGAGACAGGAAATGTGGGGGATTCGCAGACACAAGATAAGACCACCTGGGAATCCCTCTGGATATTCCTGACAAAGTATATATTTTTATCTCATTTGTTTGATTGGGTTCTCTTTGTCAACTTTCAGGACTTGCATGAAAATCTGATATGATTTGCAGAAATATAGACAATTCTAAAGGGTTCACAAACATTCAAGCAGCACTGTATATACTTTTGAACTAGCTTTAATGTTGTGTTCTGGTCTCTTTTTTTTCTCTTTTTTTGTTATTGTCTTTTGACCCAGAGAGGATTTTCTTTTTCCTGAAAATGCTAGTTAATGTTATTGCAATGCACTGAAACGTAACGCCTTTGCTCACACAGGGTGTGACAACTTTCCGAAAAACTTGGATAATGTTTGTACATTTTTGCCTTTTTCCCCCACATTGTTACACTTGTGGCATTCCCGGTCAGAAATCACTGGCCTACAAAAATAGCTTGTAAATCTCTCATTATGCTATATTATTACCAAATATTGGATTTCATTTTTTATCAACTTGTTTCCTCTCAATTAGCATAGGCTTTATATTTCTTTTTAGTACTGATTGATCATAGGCCTCATTGATCTGAGCTTATGCACCTCAGCATATGCGATGAGAATTCTGGTGCAGCATATGCACCATTGCAAAAATTATCCACAGATAATGCTTTTAATTAAATTAATTATTTAATGATTCATTTTTATGTCAGCTTTCATTTTAGTTATTTAATTTAAATTTAATTTAAATTTATTTTTTAATTGCTTTATTTTACTATAATAACCCTGTGACATACATGCATAAATACACAAAAACAGTGCTTTCAGACTCGACCCAAGTAATCTGTTCTTCCTCTCCCATGAAGTGAGTGTAATCTGCTGTCTGTCTGCGTGGTCTCTCTCATTGTTCTGGAGTCTGTTTGGTCTGTTCATTTACTGTCTGATGCATAATGTACCAACAATGGCCTTGCAAACCAAAAATCATGCTCAAAGCATTTTCCAAGCTGCTACAATAACACTTCTGAGGAAGAACTTGCTGCATTTGATAAAGTTTGTATCAAATCTTTTTCTTAAAACACTTTATCGTAAGCAAACTAGATATTTTGAAGCATAGCTGTTCTGCTCTGTTTATTTGAAGAAGTTTGCATCATTGATTCTGTTATTTTCCTATTTATTACTGTGAAGCTGTTTGAAACAATCTGCATTGTATAAAGTGCTATAGAAATAAATGTAACTTGACATGTTCTGCTCTCACAGCTTTCAATTTCACATTTATCAAACTCCTAAATATCATGTACAACAAGCAAACTGGTCACTTTATGTCATTCAGACAGTCTCTTCCTGCTATGTGGGCAGAATAAGCTGACCAGATCATGCAGAAACAACACAAACTATGGTCAGTATCGAGCGTTTGTGTTGAGGCATCTGATCAGGTTTCTCACCTGAGAAGACGCATATAGTGACTCCACACGCCACATGAAACGTCTTACTCTTATCCAGCAGCCGACGAACACATCTACCCATCACCTGACAGACAGAGAAAGAGTCCGAGTCAAAACAACCGTCATTCAGCATGGCAGCAACATGTCTTTGAATCTTTAAACTGCATATGCAGCATCTGAAACAGCATGCAATAAATGTGCATTTTTGTGACTGCATTTTTGTGAATTTCTCAAAGTGCACGTGATGTCTGTCTCACCCGCTGTGATCCTCGGAGGAAGGTAAGCAGTGATCGGCACATCGGCAGCAGTACCAGACTGCAGTTAAAGTTTAGAACGGAGGCCGATGCTCGACTGATGCAGAGGCCCAGCTGAAGAAACACATACACAGGGGTTAGAACAACAGTTTTCAAACTTTTTAATGCCGAGGACCCTGAAAATGCGAAAGATGCCGTTCCTACGTTGGCCGAGAGAGCGCAACACTCTGCACCTTAAAAACATGCAAATAGAAAACACCAGCAAATTAAGAAAACATCTTCATAAGTTTGACAGCACATGTGCTGCAAATACATACAAATAAAAAAAAATGTGCAGCAAAAAACAGAAACGTGCTGCAAATACTCAACAAAACCAAATACAGAAACGTGCTGCAAAGTAGCACAGACACTTGTTTCGGTTCCGTTAAACATTTTCGATGTGGTCTGTGCACATTTGCAGCACGCTTCTGTTTGTGTTGTGAGTATTTGCAGTGCGTTTCTGTATTTTGGCACGTTGTAAGTATTTGCAGCACGCGTGCTGTCAAACTGATGAAGATGTTTTCTTAATTTGTTGCAGGTGTTTCTTCATTTGCAGCGCGTTGAGCTCTCTCAGCCACTGTACGTTGCTGAAATATATATTTTAAAACTAATTTATACTGTGTGAGAAAATTACAATAAAAAAATTTTATCATGTTGTAATTGTACTACAGCCTCAGGAAATAATTATAATATTATCTGAAAAATATTTCATCTAAAGTAATTTTTTATTTTATTTTTTTTGCATTTCTAAAGAATTAAACCTGAAATCAAGCAGAAAATCTCTAGTATATGTGGGTGTTGGTATGTGCGTTGCAGCGTCGTTTGATCATTGTTTCTTGTACAGAGGTGAGCGAGTTGTTACACGTCTGTTAAGCTCTATACAGAAACTCAACAGCCTTGCTACATATGAGGGTTTACAGCCTCACAAACACATAGGCACAGTAAAACTGCTGCAATTGCCCAATTCTGGCATAGATGTATAAAAGTCTTAGCTAACACAAGTGTGGTTTGTTTTCGGAAAGTTGTGTGTCCCTGTGCAGCATCTTTCCAGGACATTAAACAATAACCTGTGACAACAATTACCCTGATTCATACAGGAGTGTTTGGGCATCCTGTCCATCTCACAGCAACACACAAACACCCAACACCATCTGTACACACAATCTCACACACTCTCTCTCACACACACACACAATCTCACACACTCTCTTTCACACACTCTCTCTCACACACACATACGATCTCACACACTCTCTCACACTCACACACACACACACAAACACACACAATCTCACACACTCTCTCTCACACACACACACAATCTCACACACTCTCTCACACTCACACACTCTCTCTCACACACACACACACACACAATCTCACACACAATCTCACTCTCTCTCTCACACACACACACACAATCTCACACACTCTCTCTCACACACACACAATCTCACACACTCTCTCACACAATCTCTCTCACACACACACACACACACACACACATAATCTCCTCAGCATCACACACACACAATCTCACACACACACACACACACAATCTCACACACACACACAAACACACACATACAATCTCACACAAAGGCGTAATGGTTTTTATACTGTAAATTGTATTTTCTAGCGCTCTACACCAACCCTACACCTAAACCTACCCCTCACAGAAAACTTTCTGCATTTTTAGATTAAAAAAAAAAAGCTTGTTTCCTCATGGGGACCAAAATATGTCCCCATCCTAATGGAATATGTCTCAATACACACAACAGGAAACCATTTTTAACGGTTTTAATGGTTAAACGTTGTAATGGTATAGTGGAAACCATTAGAATTTCTGTGATGTTTCTATTTTTTTCGGCAGACCTGTAAAACTCACACACCCCAAACTTGAAAACACAAACTTAACACATAAACTCAAGTTCTTACCCCCAGCATCTTGTGCAGATAATAATACTGCGCTCCGCTGAAGTACAACATGAATGTTCTCCAGAACAGGAAGACATTGACTGCAATCCAAAACATCTGCCCAAAACGATAAAAACACAACAATCTAAATGACAACATCTCAAACTCAGTGCATGCACCCATACAGACACTGCGACAACAGTATAGTGAGTGAATCTCTCATCTCACCATGATCAAGTGTTTGGGTCCTTCATTGGCCCTCCAGCTCTTCAGCGCGACGCTCATGATAGCCGCGCGCGCGGTCTTTACGCACCGCGATGCTAAACCTCGGACCGCAAACCGCCGTTAAACATCACCGGTGCAGCCGCTGGACTCTCCGTGCCGTGACGGTCACCCCGCCGGCTTCTCCGGGACTCCGCGTGCCGCTCATGTTCCCCGTCACGCGCCTCCCACCAAACGCCCGGTCTGGGGCCATCCTGTCCAGTGAATCCTGGGTAATAAAACAGAAAGAGCATTTTCTACTACTTCTAATAATAATAATAATAAACAATAGCCTTCATTTACAGAGCAAATACACAAAGTGTTTATATTTTAATAAAGTAAATAAGTCGAGATCGACAAAATAAGACTATCTATCTATCTGTCTATCTCTATCTATCTATCTATCTATCTATCTATCTATCTATCTATCTATCTATCTCTCTATCTATCTATCTATCCATCCATCCATCCATCCATCCATCCATCCATCTCTA